TCAGCCTGTTTTTGAGAGTGGGTCCACTGGCTACCAGCACTGTAGGGCGTCCAAACCTACAAGGGAGAGGTAGTGACAGCTGTAAAAGCTGAGAAGGCCTGTGAGAGAGGAGAGACAATATAAGGAAAATGGAGACTGGTTGCCTGCTTTTGAGTTCTTTTTGTTACCTGTACCAATCAACAGTGTCACTTTGCTCCATTCTGTATATGAGGGACAGCCACCTGGATTCACCCGAATCACTGTGGAGCCTTGTGTCAACCAACAAGTAAAATCCGTGATGGTTTCCTGAAAGCTGGCTGAGTTATGGAGGCTAGCTTCTGAGTAACAGAGGCTCTGTGGTTTTCAGTTTCAGTGATATTTAAGGAGTCCTGGAAAAGGAAGAGGGGCTGAAAGATTGGGCCAAGCCAATACTTGATACCAGATTTTCAAAATATTGATTTCCAAAGATGAGAATAAGGTTGGATTCTACATCCCACTGAACAGAGATTTTGCTCCCAGGAGGAGTGTCATGTGGGCCACTCTAAAGGCCACGTGGCACTTTTGTACAACTAGGAAACTGCAACCCTTCCTCAAGACGTTTTACTTCCTTCCCTTAGAAAACTGCTGTAATACACTGATAGGTTGGCTCAAGACATTTTACCCTTGATTGCCAGAAAGTTGGTGCTACAAAAATAAATCCATGATGCCTATGACCTATACAAAACACCCCTCAGGTGTGGCCTCTTACTCAGTGTACTACTTGTACAACTGAATGAAGCAGTCCCAAGTAATTATAAGAGGCCACTATGGTGTTAAGAACAAGTCATAACAGATTAACAGCACTTCTTTCTTAATCAAAGAACCATAGACATAGGACTTAGGATATCTGGACTTCAGCAAGGTCTCTGACAAGAATGCTCCAAATATCCTAGTAGACAAGATGAAGATGTCATAACTGGATATACTGACATAATCAGAGGCATCAAAAACTGGTAAAGTAATCTTATTCGAAGAATGTTGGTTAAGGTATTAACTGATGTTAATAAGGAGCTAATAGGTGTTCATTGGCTCATTCTTTGGTCTTGCCCAATTTATTTTTATTTGTCTGTGTGGACAAATATTCAACAGTATTTACTAAGTATTTCATGTGTGCTGAACCCTGTGTTAGGGGTCTGGAACAAGGAAACAGACACAGAAATCACATAAACATATTTTAAATAAGGTATAGTTACCGCATTTTACCAATAACCTGGATAATGATAAAGGTTTGCTTATCAATTCTATACACGACATTAAGCAGGAAGGAATAGGTAATATGATGGATAATAAAAGTTCAGAATAAAAAAGGTTCTGACCAGCTGATATAACAGGCCTATTTTAGTAGGACTAAAAACTTCATAGAGGTAAATATAGGGTCTTAAATCTCAATAAAAAAAAAAAAACTGGACAATGCAGGCTGATACACTGGAGGCAGTATGGTAATGGAAGGGCCTAGCTTCATAAGCCAGAGACACCTGAGTTAAAATCCCACCTCTGCTACATCTAGCCACACAATCTTGGGCAAGTCATTTAATTTCTCTGAGTCTGTTTCCCCACCTATAAGATGGGACATCAACTGTGTATAGTTGTATCACTGTGTGGATTCAACTATAAAATGCATGTATCTGACACAGGAGGTACTCAAAAACATAATGTTTCCAATAAAACGTGTCAGAGACAGAGGGATTTCCACTTAGTTATTCCCTCAATAAACTTCAATATATTATGTACAAGTTCTTGTGCTATATTTCAGCATTTAATGGCAAAAAGCTAAGGTCTTTGCATTTTAGGATCTAAGTTTCGAGGGTTAGACAGACCGGGAATGATAGTATAGCAATCTGTGGATAAAACCAGTGCCGCAGAGTATGGTATAAGTGTTTGTACAGGCTGTTATGGGAGGAGGAAGGAGAGGTATCTAAATTAGACTGAAAAAGCAGGGATTTATATTTTAGCAAAGATCGGTATTTTAGAAAGGGCAGTGCAGCACCACTGAGGGTCAGACATGGCAAGCAGCTCAGAGGTCATGCAGGAATACAGAAAGAAGTGAGAAGAGCCCAGACTAAGGCAGTGGGAGAGAAAATGGAGGAGAAAATGTGTTAAGGGATATCAAGGAAGGAGAATCTGTAGAACTTTGATAAATACCTGGGACGGGATGAGAGGGAAAAGTCCAAGATGACTCCAAGGCTTTGGTTTGAATGACTAAATGGAAGGAGGAGAATGAGTCAGAATGGATGTAGAAAGAACTATAGCTTTGGAGGGAAGCTGATGAGTTTCACTTTGGACTCACTGAGTTTGAGGACTGGTTCTCACGAGAGATCCCAGCTCAGGGCACAGAACAGGGGTCTTTGGCACACTAAGTGGGAATTGAAGTTGGGGGTGAGAAGAGCACAGAGTATAAGGCAGAGCCTTGGAGAAAACTAGCATGGAAGGGACAAAAGGAGGAAAAAAGGATACAATGGATACAGGGGGAAACAGCCAGAGAGACAGCACAAAGCAGGAGTGGTTTTCATAAATGAAGCAATATATCAGCAATATCAGATGTGCTCAGAATTCAAGACAAGGAAGGAAAAAATGTTCAGGAGTTTTGGTAACACGGAGGTGTGAAGACTAGGGAGAGCAATTTTGGAGGAGCTGGGGGTGGAAGCAGGATTTTAGTGAATGACGACTTCAGGAAGTCAAGAAATGTGGCTGGGAAGAGGTGGTGTAATGACAGAAGTTAACAGGAAGGTGTTTTGTGTTTCCCAGAGATTTAAATGAGAAGAGATGGTTAAGCAGGAAAGAAACGGAATAAATGATGGAACCAAGTCCTAAGGAAAAGGAGGAGACGGAATCTCAGCACAAGAAAAAGAATTAGCCTTAAACATATTTCTTTCACAAAATTAGGCAAAGTGATACGGTCAGCTGGAGGTAAGTTTGTAAATGATAGCAGTTGAGGAGCCTTAACTGATGGTTGCAACTTAGTGAAGTCAAAGGCAAGGTTAGGAAGCCGGGAGAGGAATGAAAATCTGAAAGACAAGGAGGAGATGGGCAAGAGAGCTGTCCAAATGCAAATGGGGAGTGCCAAGTAGCACCGGGAGCCCACAGCATGATAATGGACAGGATGTGTCTACAACAAAGACTTGGGGTGGGGTGGGGTGGTGCTCAGGTCACCACAAAAGAAGTACATCCCTGGTCTGTATGGTCAGACTCCCGGAGGAAAAAGATCTTCCTTTACACACCACACTCTCAAAGACAGACTGTCAAACAGGAAAAGTTCAAGGGAGGGTAATCACAACAAAGAAGGTGTGAGAAAACCCCACAGGTGATCATCTGGGGTTGGACTGACAGCGAGTTGTTGGTACTCAGTCTGCCAGGACCATGGGGTTGTATAATGTCTACTGGGTAACAAAGCAGCATCTCATTATTCTCCCTCAAATACACAACCAGGCCTTACACTAGAGATAGGTAGAAGGATCAGGAAATAGAAAAAAGGAGGAGGAAGGCATTTCAGAACTTCACTTCCCATGGGTCAAAGTGGAGAAGAGGCCATTTGGACTTTCAAATAAAATCTCAGAGGAGATCAGGGATAACCAATCAAGGACCGCTAATCAAAGAGCTTTGTTATTACTTACGTCCACACATAGGATCCATCCCCTCCATCCCCCATATTCCGATTCATCTTCCTCCTCTCCCATGTGGTGTTATCCATGGTGGTAACTACCAGTCCAGCAAATCCCTTCCTTTGTCCCTTAAACCCACCCATCTATCTCCCTCCACACAGCCACTGCCTTGGTTCAGGCCTCCCTCCTCTGCCACCTGGACCAAAGCAACAGTGGCCTCACTGGTTTCCCTGCTGGCCCTACCCTGTCCAGTGTAATCACCATGGAACCGTCTGGGTAATTTAAAATAGATGAGAGCATGTCACACCCTTTTTTAAACTTTCACTGCCTCAACTCTCCAACACCATACCTTCAAGAAAGTCCAGACATCTTAGCATGGCAATATTAACAGCTACAGTTTATCATTTACCATCTACCATCATCAAGCAAGTAACATAAAGCATTCAATTCTCACAGCAACCCTGGAAGGTTGGCTTATGTGAGGAAACTGAAGTTTAGAGTGATTGCCTAAGGTCTCAAAACTAGTTCAATGGCAAAGCCAGCATAGGTACACAAGTAACTTATATTCCAAAATCTGTGTTCTTAATTACGTATTATACAATCTCATGTTGCCCACAAAGCCTTTGTGATCTGCCTCCTGCTTACCTTTCCACATTCATATCTTAGCCTGGGTGAACTACCCGCAAGTACGTCTGCTCACACCATTCCCAATGTCTGCAATTCATCCCACCTCCACTCCTCTTCTCCTGACTATTCTTGGTCATCCTTCAGGCCGATGGGCAGTATGTCCTCACAGAAGCCTTCTCTGACGCCTCAGCCTGACTTAACGATCACTCTAAGTCCTCCTCTGGCAAATCTCAATAGCTTCATACCATAGTGCTGTGGTCTATCTCTTCGACTTAAAAAATAACTCCCTGAGGCCAGAGATGTGCATCTTGACTGAGAGCCCTGTACGTAACTCCTTAAAGAATTTCAAAATCATGTCACATGAGGGTTAGGGAGAAGCTGGCCAAGAAAAATGGAAGAGGAAGCAGAGATGTTTTATGCAGCAGAAGCAGCAGGAGCAAAGGGTTACAAGTGAGACACAACCTGTAAACAGTTTAACAAGACCACAGCACAGAATTGAGGGATGGAGAAACAATTAGGCAATATGAACTTTCACAAGACTGGCTTTTTCTTCATTCGCATGTTAGCTCCAAAGTCACCTCCTCAGAGAGTGCATCTCTGACCAGCTAAATTTTACAATAGCTCCCTCCGCTTACCGCCAGTTACTCTCCATCACATTACTGTTTCTTTTTTCTAGTGTCCAACAGGATCTGAAACACCTACCACCCACTAAAAGCACTATATTATTGACAATTGCCACAACTGCCACCACCACGATCAAAAGGTATGCTCCATGAACAGCACCTCTACATCAGCGGTGCTTACAGTGATGCCTTGAACATAACAAAATTCTCAGTTGTTGTGGCATATACTATGGGTAAATAAATTAAATGTGCTCAGCCTGGAGAAGAAATGGTGTGAAGCAGAAGACAAACTAGCAGCTTTCAAAGGTGTGTGGGCAATAAAGTGGAAGGGAGAGCCCAAGGGCCTGAAAGAGGGAAAATGAGCTGAGATTATGGGGTAGCCACTTTCAGCTCAACATATGGCCTAAGTCAAAGCTAGGGAAAGACCAAACAACAATAACCAGAAATAGTGAGTTTTCTGCCACTTAAGAAACTTAACCCGTGGGCAGGGGTGTCACAAAAGAAATCCAAGTATTCAATGGGAAAGGGAACCTGGGACCCAGAGGCCTGAAACTGGCAGTCACAGATATGCCTGGTTCCAGCTGTAGTTAAAAAACATCTTTTTAAAATTGGTTTTGAAAAAACTGTAGTCGTCAGTGTTTAAAAATCAAGAGATTACACGAGTGCAACACACGAGTTTTTTCATTTCTCCAACTTCATACATGTTAGTACTGTGCTCATAAGCTCAATTCAGTAAAAATACGTTTGACTCTTTCTGATATGGAAATACATTTCTTACACCTACATTTACCTTACCTGACTGAATAAGCATTAAACTTTGTAACCCTGGATCAAACTGAAGAGTAGAGAACCTTAGCTCAGAAAGCCCTTACAAAAAACTGACTTCATTTAACGCCCTCGCTTCACAAACGACATCATCCCTCCCATTTTACAGATGAAGGAAGAGAGGCTCAGAGAGAGGTGACATGCCAGAGTCACAGAGCAAATGCAGGCAAAGCCAGGATAAGAACCCTGCCGTCCTATCTCCAGTATTCCAACACCGAAGATTCAGAGGATTCCTGGCCAGACGACAGGAGGGGCTGACATAGGACACTAGGAGCTTTCTAGTCAGAAGACCCCGGACTGAACAATTCCCGGGGATGTGGCTGGAGAAGGAGGGTGAGAGCCGGAGTCAGTGACTCCCCGGAGGAGGGAGGATCCTGAAATCCACCAAGACTTTCGCCCTCACTGCCGAGCTCGCCCCTTCCCACCAGACCTCCAAAACCCAACCCACAGGACCCCCATACTCCCTCACCTGCGCGGCTCACTTACCGCCGATCAACTTCCGGCAACCACAGCGTCGTCCGCAGCGCGCGCCCCGATGACGCAATATGGCCCCGCCCGCCCGCCCTCCTGGGTTAGTGGTGCGCCTGCGCACACGGAGGCGCGGGCCAACCTGGTAAATGAGCCCCTAGCACCGGGCTGAGTGGGAGGAACTTGAGTTGCAGCGAAGGCGGAGCGTCAGGAGGTGGGCGAGGCTCCCTGATGAGAGCTGAGCTAGTTTATTAGCTGTGGGAATGTGTATACGCCAGTCATGCTTTGAAAAAAACTGCTCCACGTTCTCTCTTTCGATTTCAGAGCATGACAGGAATTATGATCATTTCCATTTTCCAGGAGAGGCAGCTTTAAACGTATCCTAGGTGCCATTAAGGAGACAGGTGTGGAGACAGATGAGAATTTTAACAGGTAAAATCTCATGAAGGTCGTCAGTGATTAACCTGTTCTTTCTAAACCAAATATTATTCTCATAGCTCCCTGCTGTCAATGGGATGAAGTTACTCCTTCCAGATTATTTATCACGCATTTCCTATGTGCCAAGCATTTGTCAGATATTGAAGACACAATAGTGAGTATAAACTGCATGTGACGTATAAGGCCATTCAGTTCATAAGGAATGAAAGTGACTCAGATGTAGATCAATAGATTCATAATGATTAGAGTAATTACTATTATCTACTCTGTTTTCAGGGTTTCATATTTTCTAATCACCACAAAGACCCTGAAACATAGATGTCATATTATCCCCATTTTACACATAAAGGAAGAGAGACCAGGAAAAGTTAAGTGATTTGCTGAAGGTTTCAGAGGTTTAGAGTTAGCATTCTTTTTTTTTTAAGATTTTATTTATTTATTTGACAGAGATCACAAGTAGGCAGAAAGGCAGGCCGAGAGAGAGGAGGAAGCAGGCTCCCTGCCAAGAAGAGAGCCTGATGCGGGACTTGATCCTGGGATCCTGAGATCATGACCTGAGCCAAAGGCAGAAACTTAACCCACTGAGCCACCCAAGCGCCCTGGGGACAGCATTCTAATGGAAGCATGTTTGACCTTGCCAAATAAGAAAACAAATCCAGACTTAGTGAGGAGATACTTTATTTGAAAGGAATATTGCAAGGGGGGAGGAAAAGGGAAGAGAAGGAACTATTGTAATAGGGAGACCACTCTGACTAAAAGATCTGCAAGTGGCTAAGGGTTAGGCAAAAAAAGTTTTTTCTTGGGCTCCTGGGTGGCTCAGTTGGTTAAGCGACTGCCTTCAGCTCAGGTCATGATCCCAGAGTCCTAGGATCAAGCCCTGCATTGGGCTCTCTGCTCAATGGGGAGCCCTGCTTCTCCTTCTCCCTCTCCCTCTGCTGCTCTGCCTGCTTGTGCTCTCTTGCTCTGTCAAATAAATAAACTCTTTTTTAGAAAAAGAGATAATTTTTCCTTAAGAGGGAAGAGTGAAGAAGGCTAGAAAGAACTGAGTGTGGGAAAATGGGAGGAAAAGGTGGCTTGATCAGATAGTAGTAGGTCAGAGACTGTTTTACTGTGAGGTCAGTCTGTTCTCTGCAGGGGTTGTATGGTGGCTCAGGTTGAGGGCGCCGGGGTGGCTCAGTGGGTTAAAGCCTCTGCCTTCGGCTCAGGTCATGATCTTAGGGTCCTGGCATCGGGCCCCATATCGGGCTCTCTGCTCAGCGGGGAGCGTCCTTCCTCCTCTCTGCCTGCCTATCTGCCTACTTGTGATCTCTGTCTGTAAATACATAAATAAAACCTTTAAAAAAAAATAAGGGGCTTGGAGGGTATGGGAGAAGCTTAACTAAAGTTGGTTAACAAAGCATTTTGTTTTGATTCATCAGTGGATACAAATAGTTCAGCTAAACATTTAGAAGGCAAAGAAGAGCAGTTCAGAAGGACTGTCTTGCCTTGTCACAGGTAAACAAGGACGATATCCATGAGTCTTAACCTAAGTCATAGAGGATTGGATATTTCTTTGCAGTAAACCCTTTCCGGAGGACAGAAAAGTGGAGGAAGGGTGTTGAAAAACCAATACTTTTTTCAAGAGCTCAGAGATCAGGTAAAGTTCCGTATTGTAAACTCTTTCTTTATAGCAGGTTCCTCTTCTGCCAATGCCCCCTCAGACTGCATGCTTGGGTCACACCAAACTAATTCTGATGTTTTAAGCACACTCTGTTCTTTTATACAAATCTCCATCCCTGCAATACCCTCACACTTCCTCTGCTTGTGTAATCCTCTCTATCTTCAAAACCAAGTTGATGCACCAAAAATAGTACCTAGGAATAAATATAACCAAGGAGGTGAAAGACCTATATTTTGAAAAATATAAGACAATGATGAAAGAAATTGAAGATGACACAAATGGAAAGATGTTTCATGGTCATGGGTTGGAAGAATTAATACCGTTAAAATGTCCATACTTCCCAGAGCAATCTACAGATTCAGTGCAACTTTAGTCAAAACACCAACAGCATTTTTCATAGAATGAGAATTAATACTCCCAAAATTTGTATGGAATTATGAAAAACCCCAAATATCCACAGTGATCTTGGGAAAGAAGAGCAAAGCTGGAGGTATCATAATCTCAGACTTCAAGATATACTCCAATGCTGTAGTAATAAAAACAGTATGGGACTGGCACATACACAAAAAATACATAGATCAATGGAACAGGATAGAAAGCCCAGAAATAAACTCATTCTTACATGGTCAATTAATCTATGACAAAGGAGGCAAGAATATACAATGGGAATAATACAGTCTCTTCAATAAATGCTGCTGGGAAAACTGGACAGACACATGCAAAAGAATGAAATTGGAGCGCTTTCTTACACCAAATACAAAATGGATTAAAAACCTAAATGTGAGACCTGAAACCATAAAACTCCTAAAAGAAAACATAAGCAGTAATCTCTTGGATATTGGCCTTAGCAAAATATGGAAATGTCTCCTCAGGCAAGGGGGGAAAAGGCAAAAATAAACTATTAGGACTACACCAAAATAAAAACTTTTTTCCCAGCAAAATAAACCACCAGCAAAACAAAAAGGCAATATAGTAAATGGGAGAAGATATTTGCAAATCATGTATCTGAGACAGGGTTAATATTCAAAACATAAAAAGAACTTACACAACTCAATGCACACACACACATACACACACAGAATCCAATTAAAAATGGGCAAGGACCGGGGCGCCTGGGTGGCTCAGTGGGTTAAAGCCTCTGCCTTCGGCTCAGGTCATGATCCCAGGGTCCTGGGATCGAGCCCCGCATCAGGCTCTCTGCTCAGCAGGGACCCTGCTTCCTCCTCTCTCTCTGCCTGCCTCTCTGCCTACTTTGTGATCTCTGTCTGTCAAATAAATAAATAAAATCTTAAAAAAAAAATGGGTGAGGACCTGAATAGACCTTACTCCAAAGACATGTAGAAGGCCAACAGATGCATGAAAAGATGTTCAACATCAACTAATCATGAGGGAAATGCAAATCAAAACCATAGTGAGATTTCCTCTCATATTAATCAAAACACCTAGTATCAAAAAAAAAAAAACAAGAAATAACAAGGGTTGGTGAAGATGTTGAAAAAAGGGAACATTTGTGCACTGTTGGTGGGAATATAAATTGGTGCAACTACTGTGGAAAACAGTAGGGCAGTTCCTCAAAAAATTAAAAATAGAAATACCATGTGATCCAGTAATTTAACTATTGGGTATTTATCCAAAGAAAACAAAAACACTAATCTGAAAAGATACATGTACCCCTATATTTATTACATCATTATTTACATTTATTATTTGTAAATATTTACAACATTATTTACAACAGCCAACATATGAAAGCAGCCCAAGTACCCACTGATAGATGAAAGGATAAAGAAGATACAGTGGATTATTTCTAAGCTGTAAAAAAATGAATGAAATCTTGCTATTTGCAACAACATGGAAAGACCTAGGAAAGATCTATTATGCTAAATAAAATAAGTCAGACAGAGAATGACAAATACTATATCATTTCACTTATATATGGATTCTAAAAAAACTAATCAAGTCAACAAACAAAACAGAAACAGATTCATAAATATAGAGACAAACTGGTGGTTGCCAGCAGGGAGGGGGTGGCAGGGTGAAATGGACTAAGAGGTACAAAATTCCAGTTGTAAAATAAGTCTTGGAGATGAAAAGTACAGCACAGGGAATATAGTCAATAATATAATCATGTTGTATGGTGACTTACTGTGGTGAACATTGAATAATGCATAGAACTGTCAAATCAATATATGGTACATAGAGAGCCCGATGCGGGGCTCGATCCCAGGACCCTGGGATCATGACCTGAGCCGAAGGCAGAGGCTTTAACCCACTGAGCCACCCAGGCGCCCCATAAGAGGGAAAACTAATTTACATGAAAAAAAGAAAATTGGCCTTTCCTAAACTAAATAATCTACACTCGATATCAAGTATAAAGAAGATATATTGGGGTGCCTGGGTGACTCAGTTGGTTAAGCAGCTGCCTTCGGCTCAGGTTATGGTTCCAGGGTCCTGGGATCGAGCCCCACATCGGGCTTCCTGCTCAGCAGAGAGCCTGCTTCTCTCTCTCCCTCTGCCTGCTGCTCTGCTTACTTGTGCTCTCTGTCAAATAAATAAGTAAAATCTTAAAAATATATATATATTGAAGGTATTTATTGGGTGATAGGAAACACCTTTTTCAAAAGGAAATGTGCAATGCTTCCAGGATTTGCCAGCTTCACCAAGCATCAGCGAGATCTTCGGGACTGTGAAGGAAGAATCATACAATGACTTTATCATAAAAATGGAAAAAAAAAGTGCCTCCTCTGAAGGACAGCTGGCAGGATTAAGTGAGTGAAGAAGTATGGAAGACACCTGGTGGCCTGCCAGACACAGACCAGGCACATATCACTTGTTAGGTAACTCACCCATTCCCCTAGAACTATCTACAACTGTGGCTTAATAACACGCAGGTATGGCACCTCAGTTAACAGCACATGGAAGCTATTTTAGAAGGTGCCAGAAGAGGGTGCTAAATCAAATGCACGGATCTAAAGATAGCAGGAAAGCTGTGGATTTCTTAGGGCTCTCAATTTACAACCTATACCCTTCTTTGCCCAACCAAGCTAAATCCACTGTAAATTTATCCAGGAAATCTATTTAAGACATTTATCAGTGCAATGGCAAAGAATCACCGATAAAATGCCCTCAGAGCCAATCCTGAAACCTTCTGACATCACTACAGAAATGACATCTCAGAAGAGAAGCTAACACTGCCCTCCCCAACACACACACACACACACATTCTCTCTCTCTCTGAAGCACAGGACCCCCAGAAGAAAGAAAACAAAGTGCCGTGGAACAATGTAGATGTGGTGAAAAGCAAATTAAACAATGTGTATAAAGGTATCCTGGAAAGCACGTAAGTCATAGAAATCTGAGGGATCATTTTGTATAGTGCTGGGCTTTGTGTAAATAGGAAATTAACATAAATTAGTATTTATTAAATGCCTATAAGCCAGATAGTGTTCTGTCTTTTATACAGGACACACATTCGTCCTAAGGGAGACTCCATGAGGTAAGTATTATCTTCATTTTTACTAGAATTTGAGTATGTATTCTATCTTTGTAACATGTATAAAAATACATAAATGTACACACACACACACACACACACACGTCTATAAAATATCCGTGAGCCCAAGTTTCCTAACTTACGAACTGGAGATAACAGCTGATGTCTACCATTCAGGATCTAGTGAAAAATATTAAATGTGGAAGGAGAAATGGCACTTTTGCTGACTGATTTACTATATGGAGAGAAAGATCACATAACTTTACATGACAAATAAATATGTAAGTATAGTATTTTGTTCTTCCTGTAAGAAAGTTCAGAAATAAAGATTTTATGTGAAACAAAAGCTAGGTGGTGGGGGGAGAATCTTCAAGACTGGAGGGAAAAAACAAAGGCCTGAAGGACATTTCCTGAGGACCATCTTTGCCTTTGTTCCTTTCTGAATAGCAGAGTGTGCCCTCTGTTCAAGGGAGGTGTCCCCATGGGCAAAGAGGTAGGCGCTGTACTTTTCTCTACCTTCTGCTGCCATTGTGAAGGGAATGAATGGAAAGTTAAACTTGCTTCAGTTCCTGATAAATGGTAATTATATGCATTCTCAAAGACAGGCAAATTACCTGGGCTAAATGCCATTTCTGGAAGCTTCACTTCGAAGACGATGCTGTGAGCAATGTCTCTCACCCCCTGCATGGTACGGTCCCGGAAGCAAAGGACTTCAACAGACTGGAAACTGCTACTCCTTGATGTCAGGCCCCAGGTTTGAATTAATTCATTTTTTTTTTTTTAAGGAGGGAAAAGAAAGAGCTCACATAAGAGCTTCAGCAAAACCAGTTGGAGAGTATTCAATTCATTGTTAATTATGCCTCCCTGAACTCTTGGGGCATGGCCTTAACCTCTGAGAGATTTTGAACACATTCACGTATGCTTTTCTTTGTCCAAATGCTTAGAGACTGAACAATGGATTGGCTGTGATTTCTAAATGAATTTTATGTAACAATCACATAAAATAAATAATAAATAAATAAATAATTCTGACAAATGCATCTTAAATACAGGGGAAAAAAAGCTTACAAGACATTAAAAGAAACTCTAAGACATTCACGGGTTCTCCTGGCCCCCCTTCTCCCTCTGAACTCATATTTTATGAAATAGCACCTCAGTCAGAAGTAGTTAGCAAGCCTATGTGTACTCTCCAGACACACTACCTGGGTAAGCAAGTGTAACAATTCTCCCTCTGGGGACAATCTATAATTAACTATCTTCATTTTTTTTTAAAAGCATTTTTATGTAAGTAAAACAGATATGAAGACAAGTACACACATCCTAAACATAAAGGAGCCTATCTCATGCCTCTCCCAGTCACTGGCCAGCCCCTTTAAGAGTAACTACTACTCTAATGTCTAAGTCTACTCCTGGGCTTTTCCTGCTCTGATCTTTACAGAGAAGGAATCATAGAGGGCCTATTCTCTTAAGGGTTGGATTATTTCCACTGAACCTTATGGCAACTGTGTTGACATGAGCATCAGCAGTTCACTCAGATTTACTACGACATCACATTCCACCACAATGAATATGCCACAATTTATCGACCATTTCACTGTTGAAGGACATCTGGGTTATTCCTGGTATTTGTTTATAAAGAATAATGCTGCTGTAAACATCCCTGCATGTGTGTTTTGCTTCTAAGCACACATTTCTATGCATTATCTACCTGGGAAAGAAACTGTTGAGCCATAGATAGTTTTAACTTTGGTGGATGCTGCCCATTTTTGAGCAGTTTGAGGGTTCTAACTGATTCACATCTTTGACAACACTTGGTGCTGTCATCTTTTTCAAGTCATTTGGTAGGCATGTAGTAGTATCTCAGCATGGTACCTCATTAACTCTATTACTGAGTAGAATCTCATCATATTTTATGTCCATGATGACTAATGATGTTGAGCATCTTTTTAAATGTATATTGACCTCTTAGATACCCTCTGTTTTCATTATTTTAGGGCTAGAAGTAAAGGAAGATTGCAGCAGTAAGAAAATCCTATGTGAGGCTGACCCAGACAGCTGGAGGGAGGGGCTGGAATTTCCAGCTTGGGACCTCTGGCTGCTCACTCTGCCCTACTCTGAAATGTCTTTAGTGCAATATGGTCAGTCTGCAGCTCTGTAACATACCTGCTTAGGGGCTCCCATTGATGGAAACTGAATCATGACTGATGAATTGATTTATTATCTGGTTTCTATGCCAGAAATGAAAAAATGCATTGGAAAAAAAAGAGACACAGACAAGAGGTGTACACAGTGTCAAAAATAGAGTGACAGAGACAGACAGACACAGACACACACATGTAAATACCATCGGTGTGCTGCTAGGACCAAAAGATTCCTCAAAGGCCATCCAGGATGCTGGGCTAAGTTACAGGGATCATATACACCAATTGTTATCTGTGAAGAGAAAAGATGTTTTGAGTGAGTCAAGTGTCATGTCAGGTTCATAGTACAGACACTGCTAACAATTCCTTTTCCCTTTTATGCTATTCTGCAAAAGCACTAACAATTAGATGTTAGATGTTAGATGTTAGAATTAGATAGATGTTAGAATTAGATAACTTGATGAAGGGCTAGAGAGTAGAGAAGACCAGACCACAGGGCTTCTAGATGGAGGGGCTATCGAATTCTTCTCTGCAGCCTCCACACCTTGCAGTAGGCTTGGCATAGTAGGAACTAGATACATTCAGAAGGAAGAAAGATTGCAGGGAAAGTAGCTGGGAGGGAAGACAGTCAACTGTCAGGGCTCACACAGAGAACATCCTCTCATAAAGAGACACAACCTGTGAAAACTACTAATGTTTATGTAACAAAAAAATCAAAGAAGGGCCACTACCATTACAAGCCTACAGTCAGATCAAACGAAAAAGTCAGATGCTCTTGGGGTGTCTAGGTGGCTCAGTAGGTTAAGCCTCTGCCTTTGGCTCAGGACATGATCTCAAGGTCCTGGGATCGAGTGCTGCATCGGGCTCTCTGCTCAGCAGGGAGCCTGCTCCTCCCCACCCCCCGGCCCTGCCTCTGCCTGCCTCTCTGCCTACTTGTGCTCTTTCTTTCTCTGTCAAATAAATAAATAAAAATTTTTTTAAAAGTCAGATGCTCTTGATATTGTTAATATGTATTTCCTTCCACTCCATCCCCCTTCAACTCCCTCAACACTGACCTCTGTCTAGAAAACTCTATCCAACTTCAAATACCATTTCTTCAGTGAAGACTCCCTTTAGTGGGAATAGTCACTCTGCTGTGCTTCCACAGCAATTTGTAGATTGTACATACCATTTTTTACTTTTTCTTCTTCCTTGCAAAAGATAATGAGTACATAGCACCCAGATCTTAATTTCTAAATACCATTCTCCAATAAAAGGAATCAGGGCTCCTTGAACACATGGCTAAGTCTAGGGCTGAGGCAGGGAAAATACAAGATGAGCCTGCAGCATCTTGTATACCAGAAAGTAAGTGCTCAACAAACAAAGGCATGGAGCCATGCCAAGGGGACACCAGAACCAACTGAAACAGCATTCGATGGTAAGGCTAGAACAATCTGAACAATGCAAATAAATAATGCAGGACTGGATTATAATCCAAGGTATAAAATAAATACCTGTGAGTCCATACTGATATAAATGATGGGATAAATAAAAGTAAGAAGGTGAAGAGGCAAGTCTTCCTTATAGAAGATTTCCAAACAATATACTGCCCTTTCTAGGAGTAGAGCTTAATCCTTCTCCTCCTGGAGAGTGGGCTAGACTCAGTGACCTACTCCCAAAGAACAAACAGTAACTTCACAAGAGACAAACCTGGCAAAGACTACCTTAACCACGTGATCAAGTTTAACATCATCATGGATGCCGTGTGCATATCAGGCACCCGAGATATGATGCAATGACTAGGGCAGCTCACCCTTGGTGGCTTTCTTCCCAAAAACCCATAACCCCCGTCTAATCATAGGGAATCATCAGACAAATACAAATTAAGGAACATTCTATCAAAATAACTGTCCAGTACTCTTCAAAACTGTCAAGGTCATCAAAAACAAGAAAAGTCTGAGGAATTACTACTGACCAGGGGAGACCAAGGAGTCATGACAACACAATGCAATGTAGTCTCCTGGAATGGCTCCTGGAACAGAAGGAAACCGTTGTGGGAAAAACTGGTGAAAAGGAGAATAAAGTCCAGAGTTTAGGTAAGAGTAATCCACCAATGTTGCTTTCTCAGGTACTATGGATAACATCAGAGAAAACTGAAACTGGGTGAGAGTGTATGGGAATTCTCTCTGCACTGTAGTTTCAGTTTTTTAATAAATCTAAAGTTACTCCAAAATAAAAAGTTTATTTCAAAGAAAAGAAGACAATGAGCATCTAGAGAGCAGGGAGTATCTTTTTCATCTCCCCATGATCAGTTCACATATACATACCAGATACTTAGTGAATGCATGTTGAATAATGAAAAGATGGATGGATGGATGAGTGGGTGGGTAGGAGAGAGGGAAGGAGGGAGTGAGGGTGGATGGGTTGGTGTGTGAAAGGAGGGAGAAAGGGAGGGATGGAGGAAAGATGGCTGGGAGAGAACCATAAATCAACCGACAGGTTTCCTTTATAGGTATAGTTTTGGGTTAAATAAATAAAAACACAGTAGAATTTTAGTTACTCTAGATCCACTAAGTTCCATAAGAATGGGGCCAGGCCAAACAATTCCATTTATTTTACTACAGTGCTCAATATAATATTAGACAGAAAGCAGAAGCTTAACCCTTACTCAGAGAAAGGAAAAGAAAGGAAACAAAAGATAGAAAGTCAGGAAGGCAGAAAGAAGGCAGGCAAGCAGGAAGGAAGGAAAGGCCTATAAGTCCACCATCCAGAAAAAACCAGCATTAACACCTTGGTATATAATCCCCCTTAATTTTATCTTTAAATAAATATATTTTTATCACAACTTTGATACAATTATATAATTTTAGTATAATTTTTATTACTAAATGAAAATGAGACAGTGCTATAAATACTGTTTTATAGCTCTTATTCTATTGTTAACTCTCTTCTATGCCAATAAATGTCTTTCTACAACCTCTGTCAGTAGTGGCTGAATGGCATTCCATTGTACTGGTGCACCACAACTTTTTTGCTATTTCCTGTATGGAAGGACAATTAATTAGCCTTCATCTGTGCTCAATAAAAATCTCTGAAAATGAATTCTACTATAGTACTATCAGATTTACTGCATTGTTCCAAGAGTACTCTTTTTTTGCTACCTTCTCTATGTGAAATTTTCTTATTCTTAAGAACACTGAAGGGACACCTGGGTGGCTCAGTTGGTTAAGCGGCTGCCTTCGGCTCAGGTCATGGTCCCAGCGTCCTGGGATCGAGTCCCACATCGGGCTCCTTGCTTGGCGGGGAGCCTGCTTCTCCCTCTACCTCTGCCTGCCACTCTGCCTGTGCTCGTGCTCTCTCTCTCTCTCTCTAACAAATAAATAAATAAAATCTTTAAAAAAAAAAAAAAAGAACACTGAAGCTTTTTGTGTAGATGCATTTCCTGTCTTTAATGCAAACAGACAGATTCATATTTTATTCAATACAGATTCAGACATATAACTATCCTTTCAGGAAACACAGAATATCTTTATTTGAGACTTCCTTTTCCATGGAAGACAAAATACCAGCATCCAAGAAGCTTTTAAAAACAGAGTTTGCACAGACTATTCTGAGTACCGCCCCTTGCTACATGACTGGCCTAAGGCAAATCAGTCAAATCCTTTAAGCCTCAGCTGTTTTTTTTTGGGGGGGGGAGGGGTAGTCAGAAAGGGGCAGGGGGAGAGAGAGAGAGAGAAAGGATCTTAAGCATGCTGGGCATGGAGCCTGACGTGGGGCTTAGTCTTATGACACTGAGATCATGACCTGAGCCTAAATCAAGAGTTGGATGTTAACTGACTGAGCCACCCAGGTGCCCCTAGGCCTTGGCCTTTTTTTTTTTTTTTTTTTTAAAGATTTACTTGAGAGAAAGAGAGTGAGTACGGGGTGGGAGGGGGGCGGGGCGGTAAGCAGAGGGAGAGTGGGAGAAAGAGAGAATCTCAAGCCACCTCCCCACTGATCGCAGAGCCTGACACCGGGGCTTAATCTCGCGACCCTGAGAGCATGACCTGCGCCCAAATCAAGAGTCAGACACTGAAACTGACTGCGCCACCCAGGCATCCAGGTCTCAGCTTTTTAAACCTGAATCTCTGGACACCTACTTCACAGAGACACAGTGAGGATGACAGGGTATGGTACTGACATGAAAAGTCCTGTATACGTGTAGTGCTACTAACATTATTCGTGCTTCCAAATCTCCAGTGGTGAGCCTAGCCACGTGTATCTGTATAAAGTGTCGAAGCGATGCTGGTGCTGTTGAACTAGTCCACACACTCTTGGAGAACCATTAGAGAAGGTGATCTTGTAGACTAAAGAGGAAAGTCTGTGGGGCCATTTTTCATTACCTTGGAAAGTCTGGACTGGTTCTATGTCTTTCCATTCTCTGTAAATGTGGTCCACGCACCAGTAGCACCACCTGGGAATCTGCTGGAAATGCAGAATCTCAGGCTCCCTGTCTCCAGTCCCTTGGATCCGACTCTGCATTTTAACAAGGACCCAGGTGAACTGCACGCTCACGGCAGGTTGAGCAGCTCTGCCCTGCTCCTCAACTCTCTCCTGTCTTGGTCTTCATATTTGAATGTGCGTGACAATCACTTGGGAAGCTTTCAAAAATCCTGCTGCCTGGGTCCCACCACTCGAGGTTCTGGTTTTGCTAGTCTGGGCTGTGGCTTGAGCATTAGTTATTCTAAAAGCTCGCCAGGTAATTCTAAAGCACAAGTTACAAAGACCTCTTGAGAGTGCAGCGGTTGCTTAAAGCGGCCTCGCTCTGTGCGGGCTCAAGCAATGTCTATCACATGCATCTTTCCATCCCTAGTGCCTGGCACAGTAATGGATGTTCAGCAAATTCTGCTGAATAAATGACAGAACTGGCCATTTCTCCAGGCCCCACTATATGGGATGCTCTGCCCCTTATACCCCATCTTTGGGCAGGGATCCTGGGACGCAGCTGGAGGGAGGGAGATGGTGGCTAACCAACAGAGATCTGAAGCTCACATATAAAGCCATGGTACATACAGCATCTTGGCTGGCCCTTATCCCTCCCCTTTCCTTTCTCAACATACAGGTTCTCCCTTCAGTGACATTTTCACACTGGGATTGCCCTGGATGAGAATGTGACAGTTTAATCTCAAAGGACTTGCTCTGAGAGATGAGAGAACCCGAAAAATGAGGCACTCCCCCCAGGGCTCCCTCTGAATGAAGACGTTGTCTCCCTTGAGGTCTTCTGGTCCTGTGGGAAACTGCCACCACCTGGGACACCCTTCAGCTTTATTCCCTTCTGTCAATCATGACAGATGGCATCTGCTGGACAAATTACATTTAAGTAATCATTGTTTTGCCTTCACATTTTAAAAAATTTATCAAAGACATTTACAACTCTATTATCCAGCAAGAAAAGGGGGAGAAGGGTGAGGCTGGCATTCTACTTCTATAACATTTAAAACAGCTTAGAAGAAGAAAATGACCTGATGTGGTAGAAAAAGCCAGAGGTCAGCAGGCATGTGTTCTAATTCTACCGCTAACTACCGATTTTCAGAACTTGGGGTGTGAGTAGGCAAGCATACTAACATAGGGAAGAAAATCGACTGTGGAGAAATTCTCTCCTTACCTATAAAATGGAGGGGTTGCATCATTTCATCTCAAAGGATTCCTTCTAGTTCCAGAATTATAGAACTTGATAGAACATTAAAGAGAAATAAAATCCTACATAGGTTATAAGACAACACAGACTTATTAGGCTCAATCTTACTGGGTATTTAAAAGCTACTCAATTTTTATTTAGGAAGAATCTACATAGCCTCAATCCAGAAAATGACCTTCATATTGAGACTCTGAGTTTCAATTTTCAAATGTGACTCAATAAATCTGGACTCTTAGCAGATGCCTTATTCTCATACAATTTCTCTATACCTTAGGTTTCTCCTCTTTGGAGAACTCTGCCTGCACATGGAGACTGGACACAAGGCAAGCTCAACGAATGCTAACTATAACAGCAATGTAAATAAACTCTATGTCGTACCTGCACTGACCCTTCTGTTCAGTTCAATCTGTTATCATTACGTAGCGATCTACCTTCCATCTCAAAGTTCCCTTTTTCCTAACCGGCAGAGAAAAAGAAGGGGATAAGTTCCAGTTTATCAAATACTTTCCACATTTAGGTTTTATCATCTATAAGTGTAGAGTTGGGACTAAATGAAGTTATAGAAACAAGAACGTCATATTAGATACTGTAAGTGGTGCCTTATTTCAAAGAATGAGTACATTTCTGACACTACATACAAAGGCAATGAGATAGGAAGGTAGTAAGAAAAAAAAAAAAAAACTTTTTCTGAGCAGGAAAAAACAGGAATCAGTTTCTTAGAGCAACCTGACCTAAGATGAGCTACAGAGTAGGAATGAACTGCTGAAGAGAAATCTATCAACCACACAGGGAGGTCAACTTCGAGATGCTTTAAAGTAACTCTCCTACCCACATGAGGCACGCATGAGTACAAAAAGCAAGCATCCAGACAGGAAAATGACAGAATCCATTTGATATTAGGCTGAACATCCTTTAATATTTCTTTGATTATTCGAAAGTGATTCCAAAATCTTTAAGTGCTTTCGGAACCAAATCAGGAATCTCAATCACTGTAGGAATTAGTCAGCACAATGCTAGGTAAGCCAGCTTAACTGTTTGGGTAAATAGATTTTTTTTGTTGGTGGTAGTGGCAGCCAGAAATCATCATGGGCTAGGAGTTCTGCCTTCTCCACCTGGCTTTGTCACACAATCATTGTGTGAAGCTGGGCAAATCACTTCTTTTATAATACCAATCAGTAGAAAGAAGCAAAATGTAATGGGGGGGGGGAGCTTTGTTTAGAAGGTTGTCGAAATAAATGCTCCTTTCTACTTGGCCGAGAGCACACAATTCATTGAAGTAGCTCAGTCATGCTCTGGCTATGGTCCACCCAGTTATTTGCTGAAAAAGTACATGAGAAAGAAAAGAGGGCAAAATTGTCAACTTGAGTACCTTCAGCTGGAGAAATTTCCACACTGCTCCCTTAAAACACACTTATCTGACAAATGGCCAACTACTACTCAAATACTTGATGGAACAGGAAATGCGCAAAGGCAACTACATGTTTTAAAAGTACAGGATACAAAAATCCAAGAATCTAATGCACTGCACTGTCACAGACAGCTGCCAAGATGCGGAGCTTTTGCTAAGTGAAGAAAGACGCCCGCTAATAGCATACCAATTGTTGTTCCTTTGCTTCGCTCCTGTCTAAAGATTTTAAAACCCCAGAATTAAAGGCTAATGTTGTTAAAATTACAAAATGTTTCCCAAACATCCAATCTTCAATAACTGCTCTGAGGAAAGCAGAAGACTCAAGCAAGCTTTCCCAAAAGACTGGCAATGGCACAGAGATATGGGCTGTTTTTGATGGAATCACAAACACTGGCTTGAAAGACAACTAATTGTTAATGATGCGGTTGTCACCGTGACCAGTAAGTGGAATCATAGTCTCACTGAGGGAACGAAGTATGTAAATAAGGCCCTTTTCTAACTGGTTCAAATGTGTAAAATGTGTAACATCCCAGGGCTGGTCTGGGTGCATGGCTGGCAGGAGGGAAAACCAGCACAGTTTGTGAGCCATGGTTATGACAGGCCATGGTAGGCCAGAGCTGGCCTGAACAGACTTGGGAAAGCCAACTGTTACCATCTCTTCCCATCTCTGCGTTCTGTGACTTCATGTTGGCAGCCTGAACTCGGCCATGGTGGGAGGACTGACACCATGAAAAGAAGCCAACATACACAATCAGGGTTTTGCCCCACCGGAGAGCCAGCTGTCAAACATTTACGAGCACACCACTGATCATAGACCTTAAAATGTCCAAACCCTTTAAGTCAGTAGTTCTCTATCTAAAAATCCTTCCTAAGGAAATAATTCAAGGTAAGTGGGTAGAGGGCAGGAATCTGATGCACAGGGAAGCTCCTAATAATGAAGAAGTATGAGAAAACTAAATGTCAAAAATTTGATGTTATCTATCAGAAAGGAAGTTGATACAGAGTGTAACGGTATTATGCTAAATGTTACAATAAAAAAAATAATATGATATCATCTTAGTCTTTAAAAAATAGAAAAAGATTAGTAGGAAATATACAAAATGTTTACTTTAAAAAAACCTGAAACCTTAAAATAATAGTTGAATAACGTCGTGAGAATTTAAAAACAGAAAGATGCAGCTGGAAATAAAAATCACAAATGGAACCATCCTTAGTGCAGTTCATTTATCGACCAGTACTCTCCCACTGGGCAACCAATCAGCACTGTCCAAACTAAAGTGATAAGCTATTCGTGAGTTCCAGTCACATAGTGGCTCTTTCAAAAAAGATCAAAAAGAGGATAGAAAATGGAATGCTTAGTGCCTAATAAAGTATTATTTTGTGAAGGAAAATGCTAACTAATATAGTTGAGAAAAAAATGCACTTAAAAAAAGGTATCAAGTTCAGGCTAAGAAATAATCAGGGCATCTATTAGAGGTCTCTCTTTTCTCAACTCTGATATATCTACATGGCTAATGAAATTATCCCACTTGACTTCATAAGCTCATAAAATTCATCAATTGTTTATTTTTAATTTACAATCCCTTATATATGAGATAGCTCACTATATATACTTCTGAAAGACACAGTACTTTTTCATTTGTTCAGAATTTTATTGAGGGCCTAAGACCAGTTTAAGATATTTTGTAGATGCAGATACATTAAGATACAAGCTCTGCCCTTTAGGAGCTTACCATCTAGGATAGAACAAAAAGTAACTTGCATAAGGGAACAGGACAGAAAATGAGGATCAGAAAGTAAGTGCAGTGAGATCGGAAAAGGAAAGATCACACATAGCCAGGCCACGCTGTGAGAAGGCTTCACCATGGAGCTGGAATTCCAACAAGGAGAGTTTCTCAGGATTTTCACATAGAGTATGTTTCAGATGATATTGTGTGAGGTCAAAGAGAGATATAGAAAAAGTCCTACATAGACTTGTTTAGTGGGGGGTAGGGGTGCGGGTGAGGGTTCTCTGAAGAAACAGGCAAGCTCAGGTGAGCAATGGTTTATGAGGAAAACAGTGGAAGATGAAGCAGGAGAAGTGGCCTGGAGCCAGAGGGAAGACACCATTAACCTGATCACTGAATGACAGGGTGAATGTGAGTAGTTTGAAGCAAGTGGTGGTAAACAGGATGGAAGCAAGAAGACTCTAACTATCCAGAACAGAAGTAATCAGGGCCTGAACTATGGTGGTAACTCTGGAAATAAGTTAAAATACAGATACAAAATATATCAGGAAGGAAAACTGAAATAACTTTATCACGAATCGGAAAGGAGGAACCCAAAATTACTTTGAGGTGTAAAAGAGCTAGGAAAATCTGGAGGAGAAGCTGATCTGGGAACAGCAGGGCTGGGAGAGGATGAAGATTAAAGAATGTTCCACAACATTCCTTGGAGGGCTAAAGAAATCTAAGTGATTTTGAATTTTGCAATGATCTATTAAGACAAGAACATCAGATTTTTTTTAAGAATAATAAAACAGAACTCAGAGTTTTTCTGACCTTTGTCCTTTGGTCTTGGAAGAAATCACTGTAGTGTTTAAGCAGGGAAACCAGCACCATGTTCTCATCATACTTGATTAAGAAGTAAGGTAGCGCTGGGACTCCTTCTGTTTGACAAAGATCATCATATGCACGCTCAAGGCCTTGAATCTAAGAACAGAAAACATTGAGTTATTCTCCAGACGATTACTTTCTAGTTCTGAGCTAAAAATTAACATAAAAGGTACGTTAAAGCCAGAAGACTAGAAACGACTGAGCATACCCCTGTTATTCTTTTGTAGCAAATGAACATAGAAGTACCCCCAAATAATACCCCTTCACTTCTATGTAACCCTTTCCACGTGCATGGTGGTGTGTCTTAGACAGGGGCACAAGGTTTTGAGGGGACACTTTATGGTACAGCATGGTGGCACCCTAAAATGTTAATCACAATGGTGTAGAGAGAGCTCCAAACATTATTTCTCTCCTATAATAACCAAGCACTGAATCCACAACTGATGAATTTTACCTTGAACCTTTCCATAAAATAACAGCATTACTGAGACATACCTCACTTACTAGACAATTTCACCCATGTAAAGTGCATAATTCAGTGCTGTTTTTAGCATGTTTGAAGGATTATGCAACCATCAGTGCAATAATTTTAGAATATTTATAGAATGTAGGATAATTTTAGAATATTTATGTCACTCCTAAAAGAAATCTTGTTTACATCAGCAGTCAGTCCCATGGCATTATCCTTTTCCTCCACTTGTCTTTCTTCTTGGGAAATTAGTTCCACAAAATTACAACCTTCAATTTGCCCTAAACAAACTTAATAAATACTATTTTTTCATCAATTAGGGTTTCTCCCTGGTGTTAGAATTCACGGTTTAATGATTGATGTGCTTCATGATTTCAAATCATCTTGCCACTCAATCCTTGCCTCAACGACAACTGGAATTCTTTGGTTTAGAGTCTGTGTTCTACTAGCCTGATTATTTTCACTGCTCTCCACTAGACCATCTCTGATGACTATATTGTCTTTCTTAGACCAAAAAGACTAGATCTCTGTCTACCATTTCTGATGTAGAAGTTCCACAACCTGGTGTGAGGGTGGTAGAATGTCTTCTATTTGTTCTCAAAGACTCTTCCCAAAGTATACTGCCTTAGGATCCTCTATAGTGAAAGTGAAAACCACATTTTGGCAAATTCTTGCAGACTTTCAACATGTTCCTATAACTCCTCCCTTCCAGCTTAGCCTTTCACCAAATGTCACTGAAAACTTTAAAAAAGTATCACTCAGTACTCCTTCAAAATGATTTTTACAAACATTTTGTAAATAAGTATCCTCCTAGTACCATCTTTGTAGGATTCCACGGTGACCATCTCTCCATTCAGACAAGTGCCTGTCTTTAGAATGAACTAAAGTACTCAAATGTATTAAACCCAATTTTGCCTGCATTTTATTTAATTTCTTGATACCTGTTTTGGTGAAAACCTTTGATCCAAGCCTACCGGCCCTTGAATGAGGGGTATACTCTCTGGAAGGCAGAGAGCAGGGAAGCAAAACCAATAGTAGAAGTGGTACTTCTTTAGATCCTAGAAGAAAGGATATAACAGGATATCAGAGTAGCACCAATGATTAAACTGGAATGCATCCATTAATGTAATTCCCCATCGCCATCTAGATAGACACCTTGATGCACACAAAATAGGATCAGATGGTCAGAAAGTCTCATCTCCAACAGAGCTCATGATAGAATACAGAATTTTTGTCTTTCTCTTAAAACATTCCCATATACCATACACTAATACCTCATGACAAACATATTAGCCACTTGCTAACAAAAAGTGTTAACTGGCAATTACCATCATCACTGCTAAATACACAAAACCACTGCAGGACATAATTATTATCCCATTTTATGGACAGAAAACTGAAGCTTAGAGGTAGGTGAAGTACTTGAACAAAACAAAGATACTGAGTGGTGGGGAGGGGGGTAGAATTCTGTTTCCGAAATTTAAGTTCTGTCCTAGTACCACACATACTATGGTACTAGTATGTACTATACTACCTGGGAAGGCCCAATGAATGGAGCATATTATTGAAAAGGCTGTGCCATCCATAACCTCTACATGCCTGCGATAATAAAACACTGCTTTCAGAAATGCCTTGTTGGTGTAATTTGAGTCAACAACTATTAAACACTTGCCATGTACAAAGCAATACATTAGACACTCTGACAATTAAGAAGATAAATAAAAGCCAGTCGAGCCCTCAGGCAGCTCACTCTCTGTACCCGCAGAGATAAAGTGAGTCCATAATTAATAGCCATGGGTCACAGAAGAGGTTCTGAGAACAAAGGAGCATCAGCAACATTGAGATTACATCTTTAGAGGTATATCTTCCACCAGCAGAAGCGAGGCAGGGACAATGACTCATGAAGCTGTTCTTGAAAACTGTTCCCACTCAGATTGGATGCTCTTGCCCCTGAATTCTTACAGCTTTTGTGGCCTAAGTTACTCCTATGGTGGGTCTCATAGTTCTATGGGTGTTTAATAGCTTCTCCATCAGTTTATTTATTTGGCTAATCAGTATTTCTTCTTGAATTTTGCTAAGAATAAAGAATAGATAGTTGTTTGATGACTTCTTATTAACATATAATTCACATACCATAAAAGTTACCATGTTAAAGTGTAAAAAGCCCCCATCAGTTTATTAGTTAGAAACACCCATGGGGCGCCTGGGTGGCTCAGTGGGTTAAAGCCTCTGCCTTCGGCTCGGGTCATGATCTTGGGGTCCTGGGATAGAGCCCCACATCGGGATCTCTGCTCAGCAGGGAGCCTGCTTCCTCTTCTCTCTCTTTGCCTGCCTCTCTGCCTACTTGTGATCTCTGTCAAATAAATAAAATCTTAAAAAAAAAAAAAAAAGAAAGAAAGAAACACCCATCCACAGAACTTCCCATTCCCCCTTCTCGCCAACCCCTGGGAACCGTTCATCTATTTTCTGTCTCTATGGATTTGCTTTTCCTGGGCTTTTCATATAAATGAAATTTTACCATATAACTTTTTAAATATAAATGTATATATAAACATATGTCTGAAAGAGGAAATCTAGTAATTACAGTTTCCAGTCTCTAATTCTGCTATTAACTGATCAACTAAGAACAAATTCCCTTTTGATGGCAGCAAAACAAACTACAAAACAGAAATTAAAGTGTCTGTTCATTTGAGTCCTAAAAACAGCAGAAAGGAAAGTAAAAACACCTCCACAGATTATTCTCTTCCTTATACTTATATGATTTGTCATAACTGATCTTTAGTCAAAGGTTAAACAATTCCAGATGAAGGACCTCACAATTTCTAAGAAGCTTTATCAGATTATCTTCAAAAGAAAAAGGCTTGAATTTCTTAGAAATTCTTTTCAGGATACAAAGGACCTAAATTAAATTAAACATAAAGCCCTTTGTGTTTGAAGAGACTTTTAGTTTTTTTTAAAAGGCAGGTTAAGAACGATCAGTAAAAAGGGCAGTAGGGCAAACACACAGAATTCTTGGTATAGAAAACGTATTGATGTTAAAGTAACAAACCTAGAAATCTTTAACTAGCACTACTTATGTATCTCTTAGTAGCAGATCTACAAAATTGCTCAAATTTATGCAATTAATTCCAAACTACAGCTAGTAATCTCATAAAGAATTTAAACATTTTTATATCTCTCCCACTATTACACAGAGAGCATTATAACTTGTTAGGAAATGTGCTCCTTATAGATAGCCTCCCTTTGGCTTGGCCTTCAGTATGATTTTTATCATTCTCTCCTTTGCCTTGGGCAGCAAATCAGATAGGCAGCATTCAGAAGAAACAGAGGATTAGTTCATGAAGGAAGAAGAAAGGCAAGACCTATAACTGGGCAAAAGGAAGGAAGGAAGGAAGGAAGGGAGAAAGGGAGGGAGGGAGGGAGAGACGGGAGAGATAGATGTGGGGAAGAGGATTAATATCCAAAGCTGATGAAGCTGGTAAAACAAAACACTCAATATATGTTAACATCAATATGTTTATATGCCTTCTCCAAAGAATTTATCCTAAAGAAATAAAATGAGCAGAAATAAAAATCAGTGTGGCCAATACTGTTCACTGCAGCATTTTTTAAAGTAGTGAATATTAGAAACAACCTAGATGTACAAGAGTCTAAAGGACATACACTTGACAGAATATTACACAGTCAACTTAATTAGAAAGGCTAACTTTATTTTACACAGAGATATATATGTATGCAGATATACACACATGCACATACACGTGTGCAGTGTATATGGCTGGTCTCTATAACCAACCCTTACATTTCCCCACACTGCCCACCAGAGACCAGGTCCTTGCCCCTACTTCCCTAGGCAGCAGATGTTACACTTACACAAAACATTTCTCATTCTTAAAAAAACAGCTGTTTAGACAAACTATGCAGTGTGAACTCCTCTAGTCTGGAAGCTGTTGGGGGATAGCCAGGATCCCCAAGATGTCATCTTTTCCTTATGCTGATGGACCCAGCAACTGAGTTCTGTAGGACTGTAGTGAACAAAGACACTGGTGAGAAAGAACCACTATTCTCTGAAGCTGACTTGACTGTCCCGAACAACAAGACATGGGTCTCGGTGTTCCATTAACCATGCAACTAGCAACAGTATGGTCAGAATGAATTAACTTTGCACTAGTGATAAATGCCAACACTATTGGGCGACTTATCAAATGAGTGTTTCTTGAACAGCTCTGAATTCAGTAACACCAGGTAGTAGCTTTAGTGAGAAGAGCGCAGACTGTCCTATTGGCACCCTGGACTCGGCCGGGGCATTTCAGCAGTCTGTCTATGACTGAGAGTCCATTTACTTACTGCAAAGGTCAAGAGGAGGAACTTGTTGAGGAGGACAGGGTTTTCGAGAGCGGCACCTGATTTTACAGCTTCCCATATCTGTCAGAAGAAAGAGAAGGGTCAAGGCAGTTCTCAGGTGTCTCTGAGCTTCTCACAAATGAAGTATAGAGGTGAAAAGCTCTAAGCTCTTCTTTCCTCCAGGCCCAGCATCACTTACCCCAGGCTGTCGAGTGGGTTGTTACCTCACTCTGGCCACTCTGGATGGCCTCTCTACCACCACAAACTCCCTGTGGGGGCTGAGGAAATTGACAGAACCCAGGAGCCTCCTCTCACTCAGACTCAGCATCCAAGGAGGAAAGCAGGCCATTTTCATGCCTTCATTATTACCTCCAACAAATATTTACTGATTGTCTACTATCTTACAGGCACATCAGGATTATAGAATAAAAGACACAGTGCCAGGTGCCTGGGTGGTTCAGTGGGTTAAACGACTACCTTTGGCTCAGGTCATGATACTGGAATCCCAGAATCTAGTCCTGCATTGGGCTCCCTACTTATTGGGGAGTCTGCTTCTCTCTCCTACCCTCTCACCTCTCATGCTCTAATAAATAAATAAAATCTTAAAAATAACAACAACAAAAACCCTGACACAGTCCCTACCCTCAAGAAGCTTTGGGTTCAGTGAGGGAGACAGGCATAAATGTCCAGATACACCACCAGGTAAGACATGCTACCTCAAAAAGATGTGGAATTCCTGGGAGGAGCATTGAACTGGGCTGGGAAGGGGTTCTAGGGGGCAGTGATTTGACCTAGGTATAGGGGATTTCTGAAAGTATCACTTAGGATTATCTTGCCCTGAGACATGAAGGAAAGAGAATGAGTTTATGCATACTCAGCAAGTAGTGTGACCAGAAGCAGAAGCTGGTACTGGTCTATAGCTGCTGATCACAAGGTTTTAGTAGCTAAGATTAGCTGCTAAACTTTATGTCACTATGCAAGACAAACAGCTGCACCAAAGGAGCCACTGGGTGGAAGATGGAAATAAACAAAGAGAATTCTGTTCCTACTGTTGACATAATAACCCTGGAGGAGCTGGAGCAGAGAAGAGCAGGCCCCATGGCTGAAAAACTAAGAGGGTGGGGGAACTGCTGGGGAGTGTGAATCGGGGTGAAGGCTGAGCCACAGGGTGAGGGATGGGATTTCTGTGGGGAACAATCTGTGATTTTTGATAATGGAAGAGAACCCAACCCAGCTCCTTGGAGACAGCCTTTGAAATGTGTAGCCAGACCAGGAGCCCAGGGCAGTCAAGCTACAGGCCAAGAAAAACCACCATCATCACCTGGGTCACAAGCTACGTCCATCTCAAGGGATGTTAGGGATGGCTTCCTTAAGACCAAAGGCAGAAGATCTCCTTCTCTGACCGTGGCACCCATACTCATTTTTTTTTTTTAAGATTTTATTTATTTGACAGAGAGAGAGAGAGATCACAAGTAGGCAGGCAGAGAGAGAGAGAAGCAGGCTCCTTGCTGAGCAGAGAGCCTGATGTGGGGTTCGATCCCAGGACCCTGAGATCATGACCTGAGCCAAAGGCAGAGGCTTTAACCCACTGAGCCACCCAGGCGCCCTAGATGGAGTAGTTTAGATTTAGCCTTAAAGATACGAAGAGACAATACAATCATCTCTGACAGCATTATAGTACTTAGGACTGGAAAGCCATGTGGCACAAAGAAGAGAAAACCCAAAGGCACGTAGACACAGGGATAGAACTCTTAGAGATAGGTCAAGCTGCTTCCAAATGCTAACTGGAGAACAGCAGCAAAGCTTTTCACAACTGCCCTGCCATGGTTTTCTGGCCTATCCCCAGCTGAGAGGCTCAATGTCTTCTCCCTGAACTTCCTGCCAATGCAGGAGACTGTAAGAACTCCCTCTGGGAAATAAACCAAAGCCTGCAAGGATCTTTAAGTACGGACTCTATGCTAGTTTCCCTGACAGACCCATACAGCTGATCAGAACCACTGGGCCTACCAAGACCAGGGAAGACAGGACAGATACATCATCAGTTCCCAGCTAACCTCATCTGCTGCTTGCTCCAAAAGTAGCTTCTTATCTGCAGCCTTGAAAGCCTCGAGTGTGTTGGTGTTAAAGAGCGTTCCAACAGCTGGGCAGCAGTGGGCTGGAGTGGGAGCACTCCTAGACATGGGAGAAACATGGTTAGGCAGGCACAGATGGGACAGCAGTGGGAGACAAAAGACAGTGCTCTGCAGGGCAAAGAGATAATCAATCACACATTTCTTTGGGAAAACATGAATATCCTTGCTTAAGAACTAAAAAACTGGAACTATACACACACACACACACACAAAATCTCTATATTCTCTTTACCCTCACTTCTTGCTGTTCTTCCACTGCGCACCACCCCCCATCTCACCTCAAATAGAAATCCATTATCTAGTTTTTACCCTTTCTCATCTTTAACCTGAAAGGGAAACATCATTTATGGAACTTCTACTGCACCAAGAACTGTACAAGTTTTGCATTTTTGCAACAACTCTTTCTCCTGATTAAAGGCTTAAGTAACTCGTCTAAGGTCACATAAAGATAGGCGGGGCAGGAATCTAAAGCCAGAACTAGCAGACTCCAAGGTATTGAGCTGCCTAATCCCTACTCAAACACTCACAGGCTTCAAGGCCCTGCTCCAAACCCTCTCCTTCCTGGAAGACCCTCCCATTTTCTCTGGTAATGGCTGGCACAGGAAACTGAGCATTACATTTTAGTGTGTCTTTAAGACTGACCATCAGAGACACCCGACTAGAGGATACTAAGCTCCCTGAGGGCAGGGAACATGTCTCCCTCTTCTGTCTCCAGACCTCACCCAGCCTAACCAGGCTCCACAAAGAGATGCTGCTGAGCCAACTTCCGGTGGTGGTCTGAGTCACACAGACAAAATGTGTCAGACCTGGGCTACCTGCCAATCTGTCGTGTCACGTGTGTATCACACTCTATACTGTCCCCTTACGGTCTTCAGAGTAATCAAAATCAGGGGAGAAGAAGACGAGTTAATTCTAAGTACAAACTCAGATGTGGAAATATCTGGTCTCCTCTCTGAAATGATTAACTTGTGTTTTAGAGGTTACAGATGCTAAATGAAAATAGGAGCCTAATACTGTTGTCAATTACAACTACTGCAGAGAGAATGCATTTTTATTGATTGTACAGTTTCAAAGACCTCATGTCTCTTGGAGTCTGTACAATTGGGTTCACAGGGGCTGCGAGGATAGAAGATCGAAACCTAGACCAGGTGTGTGGGGGTGTAATGGGTGGCCAAGGCGGCCGTGCCAAATGTTGTCTGTGGGGTGCAAATGCCAAGTCCTGGGAAAAAGTAACTTTCAATGGCCAGAGCCTTCCCTTGGGGGCTGACAAGTTAGCAAATCATAAGCTGTTTCTCACAACTCTACTCCAATAAAATACTTTTCATCCACGTGGGAGGAGGACATCAAAGACTGTCTTAAAGAGAAAGACAAATCACAAAGGAGCAAGACTCAGCTTAGAGGGAGGAAGAAAGAGCACAGTAGTAGTTGGTACACTAGGCCCCCTACATTCAGACTTGGCTTTATAAAATTACTGCTGAACTAGAAGGGACAAAGCTCTGCTCTAATTGTGATACATGCACAAGAAGAAGGGACCCTTCTTCCTAAGTGCCTGACTGTCCCAGGTATGTGAATGCAGTGTTGAACTGTCATCATGGGAAGTCAAGTAACTGCCAGCATGCTGGCCAGGCTCCTAGAACATTAGTGTTCATGCAAGTTAATCAGAGAGCACAAGATGAAGTTTCAAAGGGAAGAATTTTTCATAAGTAAAGTCCCACCAGGGGAGGTAGCCAAGGAAACAAATTTAAAAAGTGATAGTGGGAGGGAAAGCCATTCTGCCAACCTCTCCAGGTTCAAGTTCACTTGTTCCACAACAAGTGAAGATAGATGGCTCAGATGAAGACTGGAAAGAGTCCTGGACTTAGAAACAAGAGAATTTAGTCCACATCCTGGTCCTAGACACATATTAGTTTAGTTTCCTAAAATTCCATTTATATGAAATGCCCAGGATAGCAAATCCATAGACAGAAAGTAGGCCATGGTTACCGGGCCTGGGGAGTAGGAGAAGGGAAGAATGTAGAGTAACTGCTTATGGGTATAGGCTTTCTTTCTGGAGTGATGAAAATGTTCAAGAATCGGTGGTAGCAGCTGCACAACCTTGTGAATACACAAGTGTAAAAACTGCTGCCTTATACATTTTAATTTTTTTTTTATTATTATTATTTTTTTAAGATTTTTTTTATTTATCTGACAGAGAGATCACAAGTAAGCAGAAGCAGGCAGAGAGAGAGAGGGGGAAGCAGGCTCCCCGCCGAGCAGAGAGCCCGATGTGGGGCTCGATCCCAGGACCCTGAGATCATGACCTGAGCCGAAGGCAGAGGCTTAACCCACTGAGCCACCCAGGCGCCCCAATTTTTTTTTTATTATTTTTTTAAAGATTTTATTTATTTATTTGACAGATCGAGATCACAAGTAGGCAGAGAAGCAGTCAGAGAGAGAGGAGGAAGCAGGCTCCCTGCTGAGCAGAGAGCCCGATATGGGGCTTGATCCCAGGACCCTGAGATCATGACCTGAGCCGAAGGCAGAGGCTTTTAATCCACTGAGCCACCCAGGCGCCCCATGCCTTATACATTTTAAAAGGGTGAATTTTATGATATGTAAATTATATCTCAATGACACTGTTAAAAGATCAGAATTAGAAATCTTTCCCAGATAGTAAAGCCAACTGTGAACTCCCAATGATGTAGAATAACCAGGTAAAGGACTGATCTTAGAAAGGCCTCAAGCCTGGACCGGCTTGGGGATGCTATCTCTAGGAACTCAGCCTGCACTTCATTCAGTCTCCCAGCCCTGAGTGAGGGAAGTTCTGAAGCTGGTTTGCACCTGTTATTCACACCTGGCCAAAGGCAGGAGAGACAGGCAGGGTGGTGGCCAGGACAGAATAAATTCCCCAGAAGACAGACAGAGGTGATTTTTCATTATTTGGAGGAATCTCTGTTCTAACTGCACAGCTCTGCAGGCCTATGAGGAACTTTGGGAACCTAGAAGTTATACTTAGTATGGAGGCATGCACCATGCTTTCTGTAGTTATCTGTGAGTGTCTGTTTTGCAACATCTCTAACAGATTCCACTGCTGTCTTTCCACCAATCACACCACATCCCACTTTGAAAGCCATGCATTTAGACTGCCTGTAATTGATTTCAACAGTTATTTGAGCAACTAGTACATGTCAGATCTGTGTTAGGGGCTAATGAGATAGCAGAGATTAAGAGAGCCTGGGTTCTGTGCTGATGATTTTGCATATGAGTCTAATTTCCTTAACTATTTTTTAAAGTTTTTTTGAGGGCAAGGGTTATGCTATTTCTCTAATTAAGTCCAACTTGAAGCTTAGTAAAGAAAATATTTCTTCTGACTGCAAAGATAAATGTTCCTCAAGGGAAAGAAGCCCAGAGAAAGGAAAACTAATGCTTTAATGAGTCAATTTCACAATTATGCAGAGATTGTCCACCAAAATCTACTCTTCCATTCTTAAACAGAAATAGAGTACATATATGCTGCTTGTAGTAGGGCACCACGCTTCCCAGACTCATGCTCTCCCCAGTGGAACCTGAGCAAAGTAATGCATGTCCTTGCCTGGCAAGGCAAAGTGACAATTCAGGTTGTTGGGTTGTTGCTATTGTTTTTTAACTTTTTGTTTGGTCTTTCTTTCAAGATTTTATTTAAAACAAGTTAGTTAACGTATAGTATAATATTAGTTTCAGGGGTAGAATTTAGTGATTCCTCACTTGCATATAAGACCCAGTGCTCATCACAACATGTGCCCTCCTTAATGCCCATCACCCAGTTACCCTACCCCCCCCACCTACCTCCCCTCCAGCAATCCTCAGTTTATTTCCTCTAGTTAAGAGTCTCTTGTGGTTTGTCTCCTTCTCTGTTATTTTATTGTCCTTCCTTTTCCCTATGTTTATCTGTTTTGTTTAAATACCATACAATTTCACTCCTATGTGGAATTTAAGATACTTTTATTTTAAGTAGGTCCCATGCCCAACATGGGACTTGAACTCAACGACCCTCAGTTTAAGAGTCACATGCTCCACCAACTGTCAGCCAAGTGCCCCCTACAATTCTGTTTTAAGCAACACACAAATACAAGCTCTCTAGAATGATGGAGCCATAGAGGGAAGAAGACTGAACCCCAGTCCCAGACTATTAAGTGGGCAAGAAATAAACCTCTTTTGTGTTTGGGCCATTACGTTTTGGAGTCTGGTTTAGCAGTATACCCTACACTAAGACAGCTCTCTCCAGTGCAAAATGGTTGATGCCTGACAAAATACTACTTGACTGCTAATTCACCTCATACAATGTGGAGAACAATGTGGATTCTTATGGTGCTAACCACTGGCAGAGACCCATTAGGCTTCCAGGGACTCAGAGAATAAGGGATTTATCTGGTGCTATGCAAAGCTGAGATACTCTTGGCATCTAAAAATGAGTATTAGGACTGTTAGCTCTTCAGCTGTACCTTATTCCTCTCTCCATGCCCAGTGCCTAGCACATTCTATTGTCAAGACACAGAGGAAGCAATCAATAAGTATTTCTGAAATAACCATTACCTTTTCACATTTATTACAGTACAGAGCACACTAAAATGCAAACATGTATCTTCTACCTCTATCCAGCACTCCATGTTTCTTAAGTCTTTGTATTCCTACCACCTACCCATCCTGCATGTAAGAGGCATTCAGCATCTGATGAGTAAATTTATAAAGATTTCCCCTACAAACCAATGCAGGTGTAAGGCAATAAAAACAAAGAAAGAATAATAATGAAAATAATTTGCATATGAAGAACTCCTTTCTTCTGTGGTACTCCAAGTACTTCCATTAAACTCCCTAGCTGTCTTAGTCTGTTTGGGTTGCTATAAGAAAATGTCACAGACTGGGTAGCTGATGAACAACAGAAATTTCTTTCTCAGAGTTCTGGAGGCTGGAAACCCAAGATCAAGGTGCCGGCATGGTCCGGTTCTGGTGAAGGCCCTCTTTCAGTCACAGACTGCCCATTTAGCTCCACATCCTCAAGTGGTGGAAAGGGCGTGTTAGTTCTCTGGGGGTCTATTATAAGGCACTGATCCCACTCATGAGGCCTCTGCCTCATGACCTAACCCCCTCCCAGAAGCCCCCCCTCCTGACACCATCACCAGGGGCATCAGGTTTTCAACATAGGAAAAGCAGGGACACAAACACTCAGACCAAAACACCAATCATCCTAAGACAGATTCAGAAAATCACAGACTTGTAAAACTGGAAGGAACATCAGAAGCCAAGTGCCAGAGATGAGGAAACTGAATGTGAGGAAATTAAAAGCACTTAACCTAGGTAATAGAGTTAACCCGCCTTAGATAAGAGGCTTGCAGGATCCAGCACTGCCACTAGGGCTGCCCCTCATTCCTGCTCATCTCCTCAACCACATAGCCTCCCAACACTGCAGGTATTCAACAGCGCAATGAAAAGATATGACCAGTCAGATCAAGCAATTTCTGTGAAAGTCATAGCTGCGCGATCACAGATATTCTTACCTCTGTCAACTAAAATTTCTGGATCACTTGAGTTTAAGATGTTTGGATTTTGTAATAAGATCAAAACCTAACTTCTATGAACTACTTTTTAATTGTTCCTAAGAATATAATTATTAAAATCTTTAAAAAAAAAAAACCAAAAAACAGAACATAACCCTTCAGTCTAGTCCAGAGTAAAGATGGGAGCAAGTTTAGCTTTTAATTAATGTTAGAGTCTTGAGATCATATTAAAACTACACTGCTCATATGCCCCCTTGAATATCTCCAAATAATTTAATGCTTATACACTGTCAGCTATTTTCCTTATTATCTTGTAATTGTTTCAGAGGTAAGTTAATCTCTACCAAAACAAGAGAGAGATTACCAGGATTTGATTTGTTTTGATAAGCAATCACAAGGAATTTATTACAGAGCAAGAAAGGTCTGAAGAGAACAAGAAACACCAACACATGCCTTTTAAAGATAAAAAGACTAATATACTTTTTAATATATTAATGTTTTGTTTATTTTTCCTAAGCCTTTCTTTCCCCTCAGAGTGTGACGTGTTATTTATTTTAGCATATCAGATCCCTGATTTATCTGGTATAGGGAAAAGGACTAATACCATTTTAGATTTCTGTTACAACATTAAATCTTGCAATTTGAGATAGAAGAATCAAATGTGTTGACTTTTTGAGAGATTTTAAAAATATATTCTATGGCTAAAATCAACAACACAAGAAACAACAGGCATTGGCAAGGATGTGCAGAAAAAGAACCCTCATGCACTGCCGGTGAGAATGCCAACTGGTGCAGTTGCTGTGGAAAGGAGTATGGAGGCGCCTCAAAAAATTAAAAATAGAATTACTGTATGATTCAGTAATTGCACTACCGGGTATTTACCCAAAGAATACAAAAACACTAATTCAAAGGGATACATGCACCCCTAAAATTTACAGCAGCATTATTTACAATAGCCAAGTTATGGAAGCAGCCCAAATTTCCACCGACTGATGAATGGATAAAAAAGATGGGATATACATATATACAATGGAATGTTATTCAGCCATAAAAAAAGAATGAAATCTTGCCATTTGCAATGACATGGATGGAGCTAGAGAGTATAATACCTAGTGAAATAAGAGAAATAAGAGAAAGACAAATACCATATGATTTCATGCATTTAAGAAATTAAACAAGAATTTAAAGACACAAAATAAACAAGCAAAGGGGATAAAAAAGAGAGAGAGAAATCAAGAAACAGACTCTTCTGTTTTTTATCTTTAACAGATGGTTGCCAGAGGGGAAGGGGATGAAGGGATGGGCTAAATGGGTGTTGGGGATTAGGGAGGACACTTGTCATGATGAGAGCACTAGGTGATGTGTGACATTGTTGAATGACTATATTGTACCTCTGAAACTAATACAACACTGTATAATGTGGAAGCACTGACTACACTGAAGCCTTCAATTCTTCAAGTATTAATCGTCTCAGAGCCCCTCAATATGGTTTCAGCTCCACTTTTCTGTGTGGAATTCAGTTTGAGACTGCAAACAGTCTAATCAACAAATCCAATGACCCTTGCATTGAATGCTGACCTTTCTGCTTCTGACACTGTTGATCAACTCTTTCCTTCCTGAAAGCATCCATCTATGGTTTCTGTAGCACTTGTCTGGTTCTTCTTCCTCTCTGAGAATTCTTATCTCCTTTGATAGTTCTGTATCTTCCTTCTTGCACCCCCCAATCAGATCCACTCACCAGTCTGGCCCTCTGTTCTTCTTACGTGATAGTCTTCCTCTCTTAGAGCCTCATGATCTCCTCTGCATGGATGACCCTCTCCTTGACTCCAGGGCCTCCTGGGCATTTCCACCAGATGATGTCATCTCAAACTCAACATGTTTTAAACCAAGTATACCTCCTCCTAAAATCGTATCCCCCTCCTGATCTTTCTGTTTCTGTAGAATATAACAAAATGCCCCTGGCTACTCAGACTACAACCTCAGAAATCTATTTCACTCTGCTTCTAAATTTAGCCACCTTGGGCAAGCCATTTTACCTTCTGACCCATGGTTTCCTCGTCTGAAAAAAGAGAAAAATCACATCTGACAGGTCTGAAAGGATTATGTATATGAAAACACCTGCATAATTAAGCCAATAAATGTCTCTCTTCTCTCCAGCAGTACCTATGGCTCCCAACCAAGGAAGAAAAAAACAAACCAAAAAACCTCTTTGAGGGTGTATGTCGTGTTTCTTTGTATAATGCCTTACACAGTGGCTTGTATGTAGAAGTAGCCTAATAAATGTTCACTGATGTCCATGGATAAGAAACTGAAGGAGTAAGTCAAGAAGTATCAATAAGGAATCACAAAATATTAAATAAAATCAAAAGCAGAAGGGCTATTATCTACACCTCAACCAATCTAGATGATATTTGACACCTAATAGGCTCTGATAATTACCTGCTGCAAAAAGGTATGTCCAATAGTCCTAAGCATCTAGCACTTGTCTCTGTGCATCTAGCACTTGTCTCTGGGGGATACAAGAGAACTGAAGAGCTGGCCCTGCTTCTGGGGACTCCCGAAGGTCCCCCTGTGGCTCACCTAAGTTTAAAGTTAAGAATGTTCATTCCTCACAGAAAGCAAACACTTTAGATTTTAAGCCAAAAAAAAAAAAAAAGAAAAAAGAAAAAAGAAAAGAAAAGAAAAAAATACTCACATGTCAAAAGCACTGAACTCCAATGTTAAGCGAGCTGGCAGCCCAGCAGAATCACCTGGACAGAAGCATTATCACATTTTCCATTATGAGTCAGTAATAGCAGCATTCATAACTAAAATGTTGTGAATAATTTTGTTCTCTTTCTTGAGCCCTAAGTGCCCTGTCCAATTCCTGGTCATCCATATTCAACAGGGACTTAGCAGAAGATGCCAGAGCTTTTCTAAATTCGAGGAATTTGTCCAGACTATAAAAAAAGATTCATTGAGAAAAAAATTTCCAATCTCCTCCCTCAGCAATTTTAAGTAGTCAGTATTAATTCTTTGGGTTAATAATGGGAGTCTCACTACTCTCTTTCTTTTCCCCGCAACAGAGGAAAAGAAGTGAAAACAAGTTTTTGTCAAAAGCCAGGAAGTAAAAGGGGATAAAAGGTATGGCACACGGAATATAATCAATGTTACTGTAATAGCACTGTATGGTGACAGAGGGCAGCTACGCCTGTCGTGAGCAGAGCATAATGTATAAACTTATCAAATAACTATGTTGTAAATCTAAAACTAATGTAGCACTATGTGTAAATGATACCCAAATAAAAATTAATTAATTAATTAAACACAGTCAGGAAGTAAAATAGAAACCAGTGAAGAGCATGAATTATAAAAGACAAAGGTGGGAAAGCTGACCCTATACTGGAGGGCAGAGAGCATAACAGAAGATGACAGGATACTGAGTTACTGTCACCCACCATTGTAGTAATAGCCCTTAATGTCCTTGGGAGCTTCATCCAGCCGGTACTCATTCAGTTTCCTCTGGGTCAACTCATGCCAGAATCCAACGTCCAAGGCACTGCTAAAGGGAGCGAACTGCAATTTGGACAGCCCAGGATCCCCCGGAGCTGCTGCCATTATTTGCTGCCTACTAGAAAACAAAACAGAACACAGCAAAATAGCACAACATATGGTGAGGGAAAAAAAAAAAATTTGTAATAAGGCATAACCAAAACAAACAAGCAAAAAATGATGGGAGGTATAGAGGCTACCTAAAGACCTAACTGAAAATCACCCTGATTTGGCCTATATTGCTAAGTTTCACCTCCTGACAACACAAATGATTTTCTAAGTAAATCCTTTCTCTTAGGCCTTTCTGACCTTTACCTCTGGGTATCTCCCTTTCTTGTTCAAGTCAGTCTGATGGCAGCATGAGTGCTATGCCTTCATAGACATAATCAGAGTCACAGAAATTTTTGTCCTCCTGTGTGGTCCTGGAGAACTTCACACATGTAAAACCCGAGTCCAGCAGGTCAGAAACACAAGGCCAACTATCCGAGCTCTGAATGAGAGCTGCACTTGAACACCTCCCACCCCCGCCGAGGAGAGAATGAACAAATTTCTGCCCACCTAACCTGAATTTTTTTACATCTCATCTTTTATCTTTTAAATGCATGGAAAATTTGCATTTTACTGTATATACATATTTTAATATTTCATTCTCCCCCTCAAATCATCAAATAAATGTGACCCTCCTGGCAATCAGGCATGCACACACTGTAACTCTCCTACTCCTGCACACACACTCAGGGGGACACCACTGCCAGCTAGAGAAGCACAATACTAGAGGACCTTGGTATTTCCAAAAAGCAGAAGTGGGGGAGGTCTCTTCACTTTCCACTCTAACTTCCCTATGACCAGATAGAGTAATATTTCTGCAGCAGAATGTATGAAGAGTCACATTAGATGACAACAGTTCACATCAACCACATCACAGTTTTGAGCCAAGATTATTACATAGCTTTCCGTCTTCCAAACTTGTTGGATTTGGGAATTAAGATCTAGCAAGCTTTCGGGGGCGCCTAGGTGGAGCCCCAGGTCGGGCTCTCTGCTCAGCAGGGAGTTTGCTTCTCCTTCTCCCTTAGAGCACATGCATGCACACGCTCTCTCTGTCTCTCTGTCTCTCTCAAATAAATAAATAAATAAAATCTTTAAAAAAGAGAGAGATAACAAGCTTTCGACTGATAATAACTAGATGGTAAAGTGCAAAGTTAGCGCTACATGAAAATGCTAAAATTCCAGGAGGAGATGAGTATGGAGTAGGGAGGAAGTCTCAGAGTCTTTAAAACTCCCCACCGCCTTAGTACGCATTCTCAGTATCATACGTTAGACAATGCCTGACCCGAGGTTTTCAAACTTTCCCCACCTTGAGGGCTTATTAAAAACTGAAGATGAAGGGACACCTGGGTGGCTCAGTCAGTTAAGTGCCTGCCTTCAGCTCAGGTCATGATCTCGGGGTCCTGGGATTGAATCCCTTATCGGGGTCCTTGCTCAGCGAGGAGCCTGCCTCTCCCTCTGCTGGCTGCTTCCCGGTTTCTCTCTCTCCCTCTGACAAATAAATAAATAAAATCTTAAACAAAACTAAACTAAACAAAACGAAACGAAACTGAGGATGCCTGGGCTCCAGCTGCTGGAGAGGAGAAGAGAGGATGAGGGTGACCAGGAGTCCCCAGGTTTGACTAGTGCTCAGGCAGGTCTGATTCAAGTCTGGTACTACTTGATGGCTTCAGGCCACCGGCACTCTTACTTTTGGAGGGCCCACCTCTAAACCATTTCAAATATATTTAAATGTACCCTCATCCCATATTAAATACTTTCTGGCTTTTAATTATTTGAAAGGCTTTTTATAATTCTGTACTCTCAGAATGTTCATCTCTTTCCAGGTCACATCTATTTCCATTGGCCCAGGGAAAGCTTATGGATCCCATGCACTGAGACTTCAGTGCCCAAAGGAGAATCAGACCCTCGTATAGGTGATCTGGGGGCTTCACATTGAGAAACGTTGGTCTAGAATACCCAAATGGCTTCCTCCAATCACTCCCTTCTACTCTTCCTCCACAATGCTTTCTGCTATTGGTTTTTGAAAGAATCCATGCTCGGCCCTCTCCTTGGTCTGTAAGTTTTCTCAAAAGCAAAATTATTCATTTTCTACATTAATTTCTATTTATATGGCAGTGAACTGTAGGACTATATTTCTAGAGAGCTAACCTCCAAACAAACAGTTGACCCTTGAACAACACAGGTTTGAACTGCATGAGTCCACACGTACATGGAACTTTTTCCAATAAGGTATAGTACTATAAATGTATTCTCCTTAAGGTTTTCTTAATAATATTTTCTTTTCTCTAGCTTACTTTATTTTAAGAATACACTCTATAATACATATAACCTAGTTGTTTGTGTTAATCGACTATGTGTTAATGCTATGTGTTAATCGACTGTTGATGTTATCAGTAAGGCTTCTGGCCAAAAATAGGCTATAAGTAGTTAAGTTTTGAGGAATCAAAAATTGTACATGGATTTGACTATGTGGGGGTCAGCACTCCTATCGCCCACATTGTTCAAAGGTCATCTGTATGTTTTAAAGCCAAAACTTGGATTTCTCACAGACAACTCAAGTTTGGCAAACCCCAAACTAAACATTTCTTTTCCCAAAATTCTGCCCATTTCCCAGTATGTCCTAGTTAACTTAATAGTACCAACCATATCCGAGGTCAAAACCTCAAAGTCATCTTCAGTTTTTCTATTTTTCACATTCAGTAAATCAGTAATTGCTAGAAGCTAAACCTTAAATGGGCCTCTGGAATGAGATGAAGGTGACAGCTACAGAGCACTGACCAGGACGAGGCACTGCAGCAGGGCATGCACCTGAATTTACTCCTCTTGAAAGCCCTAATAAGTGACAGTTCCAGTTTTACAGAGGAAGAGACTGAGGTTCAGAGAGGTAAGAAGTCCACAGAAGGACATACAGGTAGGAAAGTGCGGTGAAGTGGGAAGGGCGAGGATCCAAATTCCATATGCCCATACTCTTCATGCAATTTTGTGCTTCCTATCCAAGTCAGCTTCTCTTTCTCTCCTCCATCCCCCTGCAAAGGTCAGGCCCACCATCTCATACCTCAGCTCCTGACTTAACATGCTCACAGGTCACTGCCTTTGTCTTCTTCAATGCTTTCCACTATTCTGTCTTCAAACAAGACATCTATATTGCTACTGGAACTGATTTGCACAGGGCGCTCCCTTGTTTAAACAAACAAAACCTTACCAGCCGTACCCCCGGAAAGAGTAAGGTGCCAACACTGTCTCAGCTTGCTTGTTTCCCAGCCTTACACCTTTCCCTAGGAAACCTCTCCTCATGTCTACCATGAAAACTCCTTCTCATCTATTAAGATTTTTTATGAAGCTCTAATTAACGCCCACAGTCAGTGGGCATCAATGGGTCCCTTCTCTGTGATGACAGATGAAAACATCCATTAGAGCGTTTGCCATCATGAATCATACTTGCTTTTTTGATTATATGCTTTTCAAAACTTTTTAAATAATAGCAGTAGTAGTAGTAACTATTCTAATTGAATTTTTTTTAAAGATTTTATTTATTTATTTGACAGACAGAGACCACAAGTAGACAGAGAGGCAGGCAGAGGGAGAGAGGAGAAAGCAGGCTCCCTGCAGAGCAGAGAGCCTGATACGGGGCTCCATCCCAGGACACCGGGATCACAACCTGAGTTGAAGGCAGAGGCTTTAACCCACTAAGCCACCCAGGCGCCCCACTAATTGAATTTTTATTCTGTGCCAAGCACTAAACATTTTACACATTATCTTAGGACAAGCTCAAAGTGATTGCATTATGCCTAATTTATAGAAGAGAAATGGAGGCACTGAGGTATCAAGTAACTTGCCCAAAGTAACTCAGTTAGGAAGGAAAAGAGCTGAGATTATAATCCACGTTGACTGGCTTCAAAGCCCCAACTCTCTCATCACTATATCTGTACTGCCTCGAAGGGAGACACCCCTTTTCAGAGCCTTTATATTGCCTATCAGCCGCACATATGCGAAAAAACCATTTTGAAAAACATTTTCATACTAACTTACTCTCCAACAGAGTCAAAAGAAAAAAGTCATAGCCAGAGTAATCATCCACTATGGAAGGAAATCAACACAGCAGCAGACAGTGGTACAAATGGATCTCTGAAAGCCTCTGTGTGACGGGTCATCAGGCTCCTACACGCTTCAGTCATCCACAACTTACTCTTAAAGGTCAGCAGTAATTCATCATCCATTTGGATGACCCGCTGAGGTCATCAAGATGGAATTTTTTCAGTGCCAGAGATGAAAGAGAAGACTCTCTCCTATACCACACTTCAACAGCTGGGAAAAAATGACTCAGGAAGACCACTTAGATGATGACAGATGGGCATACTAACAAAGTGATATGCATAAGAGACACATCCTTTAAACATTTTCTGACTTATTTGAGCCTTTAGAAATTTCAAACAGAAACCAAGAGCCTATTTCACAAGAGAAAATGGTTGGTATTCAGCCACTGAACTACTGCTTGACAGGCTAAGAAAACAGAAAGGTCCTCAGCAGCAGCAACATGTGATGAGGACATTGCTGGAAACATCTGAAGAGCACACTCAAGTATAACTGCATCATTTAAGAACCCACACATCTGTGTCACATTGCCATCTCCTTAAGCTGGAAGGGAAGATCTAAGGAAGTAATGATCAGAATGGAATTCTGGAAGGAGTAGTGAGTTATAGATGCAAAGTTATTTATGTGTCACTAACCTAGATCCAAACAACACCTGCTTCCTAAAAAAAAAAAAAAAAAAAGACGTGCCTGTACAACCCTAGACAGCACAAGGTGAGAATTCTGGCCTCTGCTTTGCTTAGAAAGTTAAAGATTATATCTACCATACTTCAACACTACAAACAGACATATTCAAGGAAGGAAACTGACAGGGGCATCAATATAAGTGTGGTTCACTTCATTTCTAACTATTTCTATCACATTCAGGATGCGAAACCTGGGAGTTACACAAAATGGGATTGTGTCACTTCCACTGAGAGAGGCTTTGATGAGGATTCAACA